AAACTCAAATAAAAATGCTTTTGAGTAACTGATGATGTTTACTGAAGGGTTATCTATTTGCACAACTTGGGAGTGCATGAGCTCATGACATAGGAAAAATACAGAAACAGTCCCACAGTAAATAATATCCTCCTACTCAAAGAACATGAAAGCTGAATGTCAATTTCCAACAATTGCAGTCACCCTGAAACTAAAGCCTAGAAAACTTACTTTGATGAAGAGTAGATAAAACAATGATCAATTGTGACAGAGTGAAAGGAAAACTAAAACCAATCCAATTGAGGAGACAGAAAGAAAAAAAGGAAAAAACAAAAGTAGAGGAGCGGCGGGGACGAAAGAACAAGCAACTACTATTTGTCATCTGTCAACTACTTGCAGAGTGAACTAGTGGATGAAAAGATCTTTCCCTCCATTTCTCCTTCTCTCTGTCTATCTGCCTTTCAAATAAAACTAAATCTTTACAAAAGAATTGGCCCCTTCACAAAGGAAAACAGGAGAATCAACAAGGGACTTTTTTAGGCCAGGCCTAGAAGTACAGTTAAAACGACTTATATTCAACAATCATTTCCTATCACCTCATCCATTGGTTGAAGTACTCCATTCACAGTTTAGGTAAATGTTAGTTGGCTATGAAGGAGTGAGTATGTTTGGATAATGATCAAAATGGAGTCTTACTTGCAAAAGGTCCTCCAATATGAAGATCGCAGCAACAGTAAACAACTATGTACGCCTCAACACTTTTTAATATTCATTTATTTTTATTTGAAAGGTAGATTTATAGAGAAAAAGATAGAGACAGAAGATCTATCTGCTGGTTTACTCTCCAAATGGCCAGAGATGAGCTACGCTGAAGCCAGGGGCCAGAAACTTCTTCCCGGTCTCCCACATGGTTTCAAGGACCCAAGGACTTGGGCCATCCTCCACTGCTTTCCCGGACCACAAGCAAGAGGTGGGGCAGCTGGGTCATGACCCAGCACCCATATGGGATGCCAGCACCACAGGGTACAACTTTAGCATGTTGAGCCCTGGTACCATCTCCTCCTTAACAATTTCTGAATGACAAAATTCTATCTCAATCAACCAACATTTATTTATATATCACACATAATTCTTACAATCCCACAAGGGAAATACAATGGCCCTTACCCAACACAGCCATCAGGGAAATAAAACAGCATAAGGAAGGTATCTTTCTCAGTCTGTCTCTCCCTCTGTGTAAAGCTCTTTCAAGATAAATAAGTTTAAAAAAAAAAAAAAAGCATTAAGCATCTTCTCTATAGTTCAGCCAAAATTCCAACGCAATCTGTCAGATATAAAGCATATTTGCCACTTTGAGGGGCACACAAGTCAACCCCCAGTTTTGAAGTGTATTTTGGCCATAGTCTGATGCAAGATAATTTGGAAAACAATCAGATGAAAGAATCTTAAAAATACAAAAATTAGCTGAAATCAGAGTCATAGTTTGCACCATTCAAAACTGCTTGATCAATGTAAAAATAGACACACCAAAGTCAGTGCTTTAAGTTTTGAGGAAAAATCTAATTATATTCTCTCTGTCATGAATGTAGACAACTATATTCAGAATTATTATAATTCTAAAGCTACTTTTTCGTTTGTGTCCTTTCTCTCTTTCTAATATGTCAGTTTTGCTATTTGGCTGCTAAGTATAAGAACTAGGGACCTACGTTTACAGCAATTTTAGAAACTACCGCAAATACCTAGCTCTTTTTTCAAATAGATATGTAAATTTCCAGATAAATTTATGACTACAGACCAAGGATGTTTTAGCTATGATTATTTTGCTTCTTACTTTTAAAATTCCTGTTAACAGCATTCCATCTAAAAGGGCTCTTCCCCTGGGCACTCAAGTTGACAGAACGGCCTTGTTATTCCCTGCCAGGCTTGCCCTGTGCAACCCAAAACACGGAGAAAGAATTTAATAAAATGAAGACATGTTTCTCCTCCATGATTTGATTTTAAATTAAGTTACAGCCAGAGTCATAATTTGGAGTCTGGAAAATTAGATGACTTCATTTTAAAAAATAAACAACCACTGAGGATGTTCTAAAGTCAACCGACCCTGTTAAAAGGTCTGGAGAGAAGCCTATATGTGGCACACTGGGTTAAGCCACCACTTGTGATGCCAGCATCCCCTATGAGTGCTGGTTTAAGTCCCAGCTGCTCTGCTTCCAGTCCAGCTCTCTTGATAATGTGCCTGGGAAAGCAGCAGCAGACAGCCCAAGTACTTGGGCCCTTGCCACCCATGTAGGAGACCCAAGGAGAGTTCCAGATTCCTGGTTTTGGCTTGGTCTAGCTCTAGGTATTGCAGCCATTTGGAGAATAAGCCAGCAGGTGGCTGATCTGTTTCTTCAGAGTAATTTTATCTTCAAGTAAAAAAATAAAGAAATCTTCCTCCAAAAATCTAGAGAGCGATGGACTACGGAACCCATGGGTCACTGTTAAGACTGTACCAGTTTGAGAATAGTGGAGTGTCAAAGGAAATGGAAGAGCTAAAAGAGAAGTATTCCTCGAGCATCCCCCCTGCCCCCCCGCAGTTGCTGGAACATGATAGATTAAGACTCTAGGTATTTACAATACCCTGACAATCTGAAAATTTTTAATTCCATCAGCGACATTCACTGCCTAAAAATGTTTTGAGTCATGTGATGGCAGTAATTTATTACTTTATATGTTGTGTTCCTAGCTAGGAGTTAATCTAAGCATGCTGATGCCACATGTGAGCACCCAAGGAGCTGTCTCAACCACTGGTCCAAGTGTCTACCCCTCACCCCATCCTGACCTTGGCTTTCGGTTGTTTTGGTTGACCTTATGACACACTGTCCTTCTCCTCCAACTTTCCCACTCAGACATACCAATTGAGTTATTTACCAAAATTTTACCTTCTTCTTCTTGTACTTTCCAATTTCTTTACTTCATCACTGAGGTAATGAGGTTAAATATAATTTTGTCAACTAAACAAATTTAGAACATACACATGTATTAAAAGAAAAAATTCAACTAAATGTTGGTTCTGTTCTTTAATCTAGTTTATAAACCTTATAATCCAATGGCCTTGCATGAAAATGAACTATTTCTATACACAACCAGAAACATGCATCACTCTCTACAAAATCACAAAGCAAGATTAGAAGAAGAAAGACAGGTATTATCCATGCATGCGCATATGCGAATGCACACAGCCCAAGAGTTCCCCTTCATGAAAGCAAACAAATCCCCTTCAAAAGGTAATTTTATATGTGCATGACACACAAGTGGGTTTGCTCAAGTTAATGATTTATTAGACATTAAGAAATGAGAACTTCAGAATCCACAGTCTCATACTAGAAACCTGAACACTCCACAGGCATGAACAGAGAAGAAAGCAAACAGAGTCTCGGATTTGAGGTTAATCATCTTAAGCAGACAGAAACACCCACATTAACACCATGGGAGTGAGCAGCAGAAAAAAGGGAAACAGAAATGAAGGAAAAGAGGAGGAAGTTGTAAATGACAGCAGAAGGCCTTTATGAAGTGAGGGTGACAACTGCCAGTGTGTGACATAGCGAACTGCACCTGAGAGCAAAACAAAGCTAGATGGTGGCACCAGCATGGGGGCTCAACAGACCGATCCTCCACCCTCCAGCGTCAGTACCCAATATGGGCAGTAGTTCATGTCCCAACTGCTCCGCTCTGATCCAGCTCCCTGCTTATGGCCTGGGAAAACAGCAAAGGAGGTCCAAGTTCCTGAGAACCTATACCCACGTGAGAGACCTGGAAGAAACTCCTGGCTCCTCCTGGTTCTGAATCAGTTCAGACACAGTCATTACAACCATTTGGAGAGTGGAAGATCTCTCGGTCTCCCCTTCTCTCTGTAAATCTGCCATTCCAATAAAAATAAATAAATCAGTAAAAAGAAAAACTGAACAATTGGGGGAGCAAGGTGTCCTTCATTAAACGTCTTTCATTAAATGCATGAAAAAAAATAATACACCATCAAAATACTTCTGATGCATACACACAGTGACATAGCCTTCAGGATCAAAACAAAATAGGAAAGACTTCACCTAGGGTGTACACAAGCTTTTTAAATTGTAGACAGTTACAGTAGAACAGAAGTATTTTGCTAGCAAACCACTTTCCACCATGCTGTCTTACTTCTGAAGATATTCACACAAATAACAAGTAAGTTCATCTGTTACAACCTGGAAGACATCCTCCCAGACAATGAGATTTGGTCTCAGTTACCTTCCAGGTCTCCTCTCTCCAAAAGGGAAATCATAACAGTCTTACGTTAACAACAATCTGGAACGAAAAGAATTACTATACCCTTTCTCTCTAGTCAAAATTCAATCTCTCATTTGTTTTTAGGAAATAATACCTTTTATATAGTCATCTCCACTAGGTACTTTACAGGAAAGTAAAAAAATTTAAATCTGAAAGTAAGTGTGAGTCATCAAAATGGGCTAACAGAAGTTCAAATACGATTATTTTGAATGAAAGGCAGAGCACAATACTCCAATGTCATTTTATGCTCATTACACAAAAATACGTGTTTTCTTTAGCAGTCGTAAGATATACCGGAACTGGTAGAAGTCAGGAAGCAGAAAAGTCAGAAGTTACACTCAATTGATTCAAACCATATCTACTGCTTAACTATTCTACAGTGAATTGATTTCGGTATATCACGTTTCAAATATCTGTTCTCCTTAGAAACTCAGATTTGAATGCCAGGACAGATTTACATCTGCCTGCAAAAACTGGCAAGTTAACAAATGCCAAACGGCCTGGTGTGGGAGGTTAAGACCCACTGTACAAAAAGTGAGGCTTATTTTAAACGCAGCAACATTATGCTTTCAGTTAAACTAACACTTAGCTATTCTCTATGTCATCCTGAGTTTCCAGGTACAATCGGTCATATCTAGAGAGGCAACTGTTACCTGGGCAGGGCCCTCAGATGTTCAGCCTAACATTAAGTACCCGGTTTTCTTTTCTTCCATTACCTGATAATGTGCCTGGGCTTGTTGGGCCGAGTTCAAGGTGACATTGCAGAGTTTGCAGTACAGGGGCTTACAGAGCTCCTCCAGGGCAGTGTCTTGGTCTCCACCTCCAGGTAGCTCTTCTTCTCCTGACAGTGGCACGGAAGCCTCCTGCCCAAAAGGCTTCTGTGGTGGAAGCTGCAAAGTTCCTGGAGACCTGGAGGCCACTGACATAGGAGAGGAGGATGAGGGCCTCTTAGGCGGAGGAAGCCCGGCGTGTTGCAAGAGAATCATTGGGGAGGAAAACCTGGGGCATAATCCAGGCAGCAAACAGAAGCCAGGTCTTCAATCTGAATCAACAGCAAACACACAAGAAAAGAAAAATTAGTCTCCTTGATAAAAGAACCTCAGCAATAAGATACGTAAACAACAACAACATCTGACCCTTTCCTTTCTGCTGCAAACTCATCTTTTGGACTTCTTTCCATCGGCCTCCTCCAGCCGACACCCCTGCCATGTAATTCCCATTAACACAGTGCTCTTCCACAGAAAACGATTTCATAGATTCAGCTTTCTTGTGCTTGGCACAGTTCCAACTGCTGTCCCTCTAGTCCATGAACATTAATAGCATTGCACCCATGCTAATTAAATCTAAACGTCAAATGGCTGAAATGGACAAGGAAGGTCACCTAACCCAGACCCCTTCCCTCAGACACACTGACACTTCAACATTCTTCATAAGGGTTGTGCCTAGGCAAAACCCCCACCAGCTCAGAATCTTAACATCTCTTTAGCATCCAAATGATGTCAAAAAGAGTGATGTATATTCACAATCTTTCAAGGACTCCTGGAACCAGCTAAAGTACATCAAGGAACCATCGGAACAATGTGACAGAAATAATTAAAAGTGGTCCTTCTGATCCACCACATTTAAGCAGCTGAGCCAATGACTCCTTAAAACAGAATCTGAAAAAGCCCATGGGCCACAGACAGCCATAGATTCACTGTTTGGAACGCACAGTGTTTTTATTTTGCTTTCATTTTTTAAATTGGTTTAGTTATCACTACTGAAAACTCAAGGGACTCACGGCCTCTCACAATGAAAGAATGATCCCATAGCACCTGGCCCACATTCCTACATGGCAAACAATTAGCTGGCTTGTTCTCAGAGGCACCACTCCCAGCAATGCACCTGCCTTCTCCAGGCCACCTGGGTCTCCAATCAGCCCTGTAGGCCCTTGAATGTGGGAGCCCATCTCATTCTGCCTTAGAACATATTCATGAGATCTCTGTAAAATCTGCATATGTTCTCTCATTCTAGAAATAAGTTACCTGCACAAAAGAAGGCTAATGTTTAGCACAGCCTCAACCAAAAAAGTAAATGCTGAACACAGTTAGGGTCACCCTACCATCAGCTCCAATTCCAGCTCCTCAGTCTTCAGGGAGTTTTCTTCCACCTTCTAATTAAACAACTAATAATCTACTTCGCTGAGAAAAGCTTCTGTCTCCGACTATCCAGGACTTCTCCTGCCTCCCACCCAGATGGTCCTTTCAAACCACAGTCCACTCTTCCGCGTTCCTAAGATGCTCATTAACCCAAATTAGAATCTTTAATTCAAAAACTACAGTTCTCAATATTATTAAAACCTCTTTTCTGGGTCCATGGAATACAACTATCTAAGCTGCCAAAAATTTCCATCTGCAATAGAGATATGTACATTATGGCCATGATGGGTTTATGAAAATAAACGAGAGAATTTTCAGAAAGTTCAAAGTCCATCTGACCACATCTGATTAGCTACACATCACCTGGGAAGTGCAATCAAGTAACAACTGAAGTAACAACTTTTATAATGAATTCTTAGAGCAGCAGGGGAATCAAGCACAATGGGGAAACATTGTACTTAAGGGAACATGTCTACATTGTTAATATTTAACAGCATTTCCCATGAATCATATTTAGAAAAAAAATTACTTGTTTTTAATGTAAAAGTATACCATCCATACCTTGAAAACAAAGAAAGGAGGGGGCCTGGGGAAGGACAGAGGAAAAATCCCTGAGCCTGTGGAACTGTATCATAATACGTTTAGAATTAAAAAAAAAAAAAACAGGTTCCCTACCGTGGTATTATCTCTAGTGGTGTGAGTTCTCTCAATTAAATCTGAATCAAAACAGCCAAAAAGCAAAGACAGTTGTAGCCACTTTTTACAAGCAAACTCAGGAGACAAAGCTGTTCTAAAAGTTTAACTACCTAATTATCATAACCCACAAAGTTAAAAGGCAACACTGCTACCTGTAAGAATTACAATGATTGCAAAATTGCCACAAACGTGCTACTAGTTCATGAGAAATACGGTAGAGGAGGGGCCGAAACATCTGGATAAAGGGAATCAACGTAAACCAAAAATCAGTGCTACCAATTGCCTAGACAAGTCCGGACATGTTTTAGGAAGGCTCACTCTCACCAGAAGAAAGCCCAACAAGTGTCTCCCCCACAGTCACCTCCAGGTTTCCATGAGAATAAAGGCCCAAACCACACAGGTATGAAGAGCCTCCCTCCAGAGGTGAAAAAAAAATCCCCTGGATTAAGGGGGGGGTAGGGGGGGAACCCTGCAGATACAACCTTTCCCATTCCTGAACTGGTTCTTTATATTAAAAAAAAAAAAAAAGACTGGCTAGATGATCCAAAATTATTTCTTGTGTACTCACCAACTCACATGATCTATATGTGACAATCACAAATAGTACTACATTTGCAAGCAAAAATTAGCACCTAATATAAAGCTAAAACAAACAAAGCCATGCCTTTAAGGAACGCAGGGATAGTGGAATCCGGACCCAAACCACTGGCAACTCAGATCCATTCTACTGCTGCATTAGTCCAAGAGACCAGTATGAAGGCTGACACAAATAAATACTCAGATCATTTTTTTTAAAAATCAATCTGATGTTTACAGTAGCAAAAATGCACTCATAGTGTAACGTCCTGGTGAAAAGGCATTGCGAGGACTTTAAAAGAAACCCAAAGCTTCACGGTGCTCTCTGTTTAAAGAAAATAGATTTATTTTCGCAGACTTAGTTCTCAATTTTGGACTGGGGCCTACTCTTCCCAGACTGTGTTCTACAGAGGAAACAGAAGAAAGAACAGGTTACTGGCACCTCAACAAGAGGGACGTCTGTGATTGAGAATTCTGGAAACGAGGGAAAGCCTGGCGAACATTACTCAGAGGTCATCAGATCGCAGTCAGAAAGAATGCGAGAGAGAAAACAACCCGGATCAGCGGGGCCGGGTGTATCCGATCAGAAGGGCTCGGGAACCGGCAGGAAACTGGGCAGAGGGCCTTGGTGAATTGGCACATGGGTTCCAGCCCCAGCTAGGACGGTCCCTAATCCGGGGGAACCTTCTGCACGTTTGCATCCGAATTGCAGATACTTAGCATCACCCACATGGCCTTACAGTCCTGCGATGCGCGCGCACACACACACACACACACACACACACACACACACCCTCTGCCCGCAAGGATGCCATCACAGAAAATGGAATCCCCGCTCCCACAGAGCGGGGACCGGCGCCGAGGCCGGGGCGTCTGCACGCGGATACAGCCTCCTCCCCCGCCACCCAACGCCCCGCAAACGCACACTCAAAATTCGTGAAACAGACACCTACAGGCGGGGCACGCTCTGCGCCGCCGGAGGGCAGGTGCAAGACCGCACCAGGGAGGTACCCGCCAACCCCGGCGCCCCGGGACCCGTCCTACCAGCCCCGAGGTGCCCCGGTGCCCCAGCGCCCCGCGCTCACCGGAACCCCAAGCCCCGTCGGCAGCCGCGGCGCCGTGCCCGCCCGGGACGCCCGCCCTGCGCGCCGGACGCCTCGGCCCCAGCCGCCTCTCCTCGCAGCAACTTTCCCCGCCAAGCCCCTCACAGACTGAAGGCGCACTGTCAAAAGTCAGTCCGAGCAGACCCACGGAGAAACAGCTGCAGGAAGTGACTGCGGAACCGGGAGGCGGAGGAGGAGGAGACTGAAGGCGCCGGGCAGCGTCGCCTCTGCGCATGTGCCCAGCGGAGCAGGCCCCGCGGCGCTCCCGCATCCCGGCAGGCGGGCAGTGCGCGGGGCAGGTGCAGCGACCGCCAGCGCCGGGCTCGAGCAGGCGCCGGAGGAACAAAGGCCCCCAGCCCAGCTGACCTTTCCTTCAAGCTGTGTGTCGTATATGCCACGGAAAGTTGGTCCGCAGCAGCGACGTGAGCAGAGCTTTTGCGACAGAAACTTTGATCGCCTGTCGTTGACATTCAAATATTTTGCACTTCAGACTGCCTCTCAGCCTGTTGTTTGCGTCTAAGGGGACTGCGTGGAGCAGCCTAAAAGTCCAGGATCCTTTTTATTGCTGCCAGGCCGTTTTAACTGTGCTCTCCATACTTCTGCCCCAAGATGGAGCAAAGAAAAGCTTGGTGACCGGCGCAGTGGCTTTCAACGACACAGAATCCCCACCCCACCATACAGATATCCGCACTCCTACCCTCTCTAGAGTGAGCAAAACATGGAGGAGACTCTCCTGACCTACACCACACACACACACACACACACACACACACACACACACACACACACACACACGACAGAGGATGGACCAGGAAGACATTGGCTAACCTGGGATTGCACACCCTCACACAGTCAACCCGGACAGCATCGCGGTTGATGCTGAGAGATGGATTGAGGAATTTTGGATCCAAAAGTCTACAAGTTGTTTTTTTTTTTTTTTTTGTAACTCACGCAAAATTAATTGGTTCCTTTATTCTTTTTACAGTGCTAAGCTCTCTGTCCTATTAATGCACGATTTTAATCTTTGTGCTAGTGCAGGTCAATGAGAGCAAGCATATTCACAGTGTTGCCTTGAGTTTTTTCATTGTTAGTTCAAATGCTGTATTAGATAGTTTTTGTCACTGTGACAAATAGGTGAGAGGAGCTATGATTTTTGAGGTTCTCTGTGCACACCTGGGCAGCCTCGCAGGCCTGTCGTCTCATGACGACAGGGAAGAGGGCATGGAGGAATGATTACATAGTGAGGCAGGTAGGAGAGAGAAAGAGGCAGTGTGTTCATCCGTGTCTGGGTGCTTACAAAACCAGCACGTCGGGCCTAGCGAGATAGCCTAGTGGCTGAAGCCCTCACCTAGCATGCGCCAGGATCCCATATGGGTGCTAGTTCTAGTCCAAATGGCTCCACTTCCCATCCAGCTCCCTGTCCCCAGCTTCTCTGTCTCTCATCCTCTCTATATATCTTACTTTCCAATAAAAATAATTAAAAAAAAAAAAAAAACAGAGAGCCACCATGTCTGATGTTATTGGGGGGGGGGGGGTCCACCCCTGTAATCTAATTCCAACTCACCATTTTCCACAGCCTCCCTTTCTCTTCAGGGACCATAACTGGGTTTTTACCTTCAATCCACACTAACCATTAGCATAAAACTTTGGGACCAGACCTTGCAGGACACCAAACTAATATCCAAACTAAGCCAAGTGCCAAGGAGATTTAAATATAGTAAAAGAAACAGTGGTAGGTAAGTCACAGCAGAAAATTGAGACATGCACCGTGCAGTACTATCACCAATCAACTGGAAACGACTTAATAAGTATGACGAGCGTTTAGCAGCTGTACTAGTATATACAACACTAGTTCATACCATCAATTGGGAAGCGTTATCATGCATCTGAATCTTCTCCAATTGCATGTGTACACATATTTAATGTGACAAAATTTTAGGTGCCCAGGCCCAGCACAGTGCCCTAGTAGCTAAAGTCATCACCTTGAACACACTGGGATCCCACATAGGCACTGGATCTAATCTTGGCAGCCCTGCTTTCCATCCAGCTCCCTGCTTGTAACCTGGGAAAGCAGTCAAGGACAGTCCAAAGCCTTGGGACCCTGTACCCAAGTGGGAGACCCAGAAGAAGCTCCTGATTCCTGGCTTCGGATAGGCGCAGCTCCGGCTGTTGTGGTCACTTGGGGAGTGAATTATCAGACAAAAGATCTTCCTCTCTGTGTCTTCTCCTCTCTGTATATCTGACTTTACAATAAAAATAAATCTTAAAAAAAAAAATCTTTTAGATGGCCACATTGTTGTTAAAATCTGGGGTAGGCGGGCCCGGCGCAGTGGCGCAAGTGGTTAAAGGTCCTCGCCTTGCACGCCCGGGATCCCATATGGGCGCCAGTTATAATCCCGGCAGCCCCACTTCCCTTCCAGCTCCCTGCTTGTGGCTTGGGAAAGCAGTCGAGGACGGCCCAAAGCTTTGGGAACCTGCACCCACGTGGGAGACCCGGAAGAGGCTCCTGGCTTCGGATCGGCATAGTATCGGCCCGTCGCGCTCACTTGGGGAGTGAATCATCGGACGGAAGATCTTCCTCTCTGTCTCTCCTCTCTGTATATCCGCCTTTCCAACAAAAATAATAAAAAATAAATCTTTAAAATCTGGGGTAGGCATTGAGCCTAGCACTTAACAGAGACACATACCCGTTTCCTGCTTCCAGCATTCTGCTAATGCAAACCCGGGGAGGCAGTGGCCATGGCCGAGTAATCAGATCTCTGCCACCCACAGGGAAGATCTGGACAACAGGCATCTGGGGAGTGAACCAGCAGATGACTCGCGCTCTCTCGCTTGGTCTCTCCTCTCTAAAACATGAAATAAAACTTCAAAATAAATGAATGCTGTTGAAATCCACTCCCCATCTTTTTTCTGTGGAAAAAAACATCATAATCTATACTCCTGAGCTCAGACTATCACTATGCGGGGGCATACCTTTCCAATCTGATTTCCTGCCAGCCTCCTTTTAAAGTTTTGTATATCTTTATTGGAAAGGTAGATTATAGAGAAAAGGCAAGACAGAGAAAAAGATCTCCCATCTGCTGGCTAACTCTCCAAGTGGCCACAAAGGCTGGAGCTTAGCCAATGTGAATCCAGGAGTCAGGAGCCTCCTCTGGGTCTCCTACATGGGTGCAGGGTTCCAAGGATCTGGGCGATGCTCTACTGCTTTCCCAGGTTACAAGCAGGGAACTGGATGGGAAGTGGAGCAGCCAGGACACGAACCAGCATCCAACTGGCATCCCAGCAGACACAAGGTGAGGATTTAGGCTATGGCGCCAGGCTCAGCCTCCTTACTTTTGCCCACCAGCCACATTCCTCCTGCTTACTATCCAGATTAACTTCACCTGTTTCTGAATGCAAAAGGCTTTTCTTTCCCTCTATGCATTTCCAAATTTACTTATTCTTCGGGGCCTACTCTTCCATGAGCTCCTATGGCATTTTCTCTGAACCTCCTCAGTGCAGCAAAACAAATGCCTTAGTGTGCCCAAGCTTTTTGTTGCATGCTTTCACACATGTTTATGTTTGTATGTCAGGATAAAACTGAGCTGTTAATTGAAGCCCCTCACCCTCTAGTCTTCACATAAACGCATATACAACTTGGTGTTCTCTCCTCCTGATCGCACACTGTTCTCGCACAGCTAGAGTATTTCCTTCACTTCCTCGGGGAGAAAGATGATGCCACATGCCTGACATTTATTTAAGAAACATTTGAATCTCATGACAATGGTCTCATAAGTCATGGCATTTGGTTTAGAACAGTTGAACATCATGAGTTTCAGCTCCTAAAAATCTAAAGAAAAAAAAAGATAGGCAACACATAAGGTATTTGTCACTTTTGCTGTAAAAATCATCCACCAATTCTCAATGGCTTGTAGGCACAAAGATTTGTCTGTGCTATATACTGTAAGTCAATTGAGTTCCACTCCATGATTCTTCTCATTTCAGGATTCAATCTAGTGAAGTAAGTAGCTCCTATGTGGGACCTGACAATTCTTATGGCAAACCAGAAGTTCCAGAGAGCCGGGAAAAATGTGTGCCATCTTTTAAAACAGCTCCTGCCATTTGTAAAATGGCGCTTCCACTCAACTCTCCCTGGTCAAAGACTTTCACATGGTCAAACCCCAAGTTAGTGGTGAGGAAGTCTGTTGTTTCCACAGGCAGATCACATTGCAGTGGACATAGATTTAGATTTTTGTAGGGATATTGAGAGTGGGGAGGAGATTGGGTAGAGAGCAAGGAGTCATGTGGTTAATTCTGAACACTAATGCAATCGGCCACAGATATAGGGAATCACTTTTTCAACCCCAGAGGCACTTGTGTGTATCCTTGGGAAGGCCTTGTACATCTTTACCAACCCAGGCCCTGGGATTCACTTGAAAGAAGCCATGAAAACAGAAATAATAGAACTCCCAGATGTATTTAAAGATCTAAAAATAGAGGCCATCAAAGCCCTGTTCCCAATGGGATTCAGAAAAGCAACCGAACACCTAGAGTTTCCAACAATAAGCCTAAGTAGCTATCACCATAAAGGGACTGGGCACTGTCATGTCGCAGGTTAAGCAATCACTTGACACAGCTGCCTGCCATATCTGAGCACCAGTTCAAGTCCCAGCTGCTCCACCTACAATCCAATTCCCTGTTGATGCACCCAAAAAGGCAGCAGAGGATGTCTCAAGTGGTTGGAATCCAGCACCCACATAAGAAAATGACGCTCCTGGACAATCCTGGCCTGGACAATCCTGGCAATTGTCACCATTTTGAGAGTGAATCAGTACATGAAAGAGGTCTTTCCCTTCCTTTTTATCACTCTACCTTTCAAATGCAGTAATAAATAAAATGCTTTTTAAATTTTTTTAAGATTTTTATTAGGAAGTCAGATTTCAGAGAGAAGGAGACACAGAGAAAAATCTACCATCTACCCAAATGGTTATAATGGCCAGAGATGAGCAGGGATGATGGCACTTGAAGGTGGAGCATTAGCCTTTTGAGCCATGGTTCTGGCCCCAATAAAATGTTTTGTTTTTTGGTTTTTTGTTTTTTGTTTTTTTTTTTTTTTAGTGTTCAGACAAATAAATAAATAACTGTGTTCAGCCATGAGATCAAGACCCAGAT